AGGCATAGGAGCGGATGTATCCGTTTGGGACAACGGAACTGCAACAACCCGAGGCTATGTCGGCAATAGCCAAAACACGGCACAGGGGAGTGCCGGCAGATGCTCTGTTCTCAATCGTGTTGTTTTTTGAGCGTTCAGTCTGCGACACCGAAGTTTTGTCAGTTCATTTGACTACTCTGTTTTCTATGAGTGTTTTATCTACCGTATCTACCATCATGCAACTGAGAAGGAAAATCTTCACAGGTCGATTGCAACAAAAGCATCACAAGCGATCCGTGCCATCACTATGCACGCCGGTAAATGAGGTGTGATATTGCAAGCAGAAAAAAAACAGGACTGATTGAAAACAACAAGCCCCACCTGTCTTTGCTGCCAGTAAAAAGGGTGTTTACGATTCAGACCCCAAATGAGTACCCCAGCATAGTGGGGTCCGACGGCCAGAACTTAATTTCACGTGTAGCATTCCAAAAGACAAGTATTCTGAGGCAAAGGTCGGATCCAAATGAAAAGGAAAAGTCGTGTGGAAAGTCACAGTCAGGTCCTGGACGAACAGGCACTGTGTTTTGTTTTTAGTGCCAGAGATAAGGGCACGTCTGTTCAATAGTAAGTCAAAGGTCACAGTTCCCGGGGTCACGTCTGATTCAGTCCAAGAGTCCAAAAGACAGTCCCAACGACCACAGCAGCATCAGACCATGGGAAGGGGTACTGGGACACACACTTTGCAACAGCAGGTACTGGGAAAGAGTCCCAGGCCGAGGGAGGCTGGAAGTAGACCTCGCCAGACCGGTCCAGCAGTATAAAGGACTGGCCAACCTCCTCATTTGGCAGAGACTCATTGGCATGAGAGTGTGGAAGTGCTGAGGCACTTGTGCGCCAGGATGCTAGTGAACTGCGCAGGCTAAAGAGCTGCGCTAAGGAAGAATAAGGGAGCTGGGCGCTGGCTGAGAGAAGCAGCCATAGCTGCGCCAGCAGAAGCTAGTAGCAGTAGAAGGGTTAGTAGTAGGAGTACCAGTGAGTAGTATTCAGAGTAGATCCTCATATGATAGGGAGTGTGCATGCATGATGAGCGTGAGTAAACCAGGACTATAGACATAGAGGGAGAGAGAGAAGTAAGCAGACAAGAGAGGGGGAGGAGTGAGCTATGGTGACACTTACCTGTTGAGCGCTGTTGATGATGATTGGCGGTTGGCGCTGATGAGCGCCAGGCTTGAAACTCGTAATTGATTGAAGAGTACTTGTAATTCTGTTCAGCGCTTCCTCGCCTAATCTGGTTATGATATTTTGAGTTGAGCTTCCTGGTTCTCATTCGTTTTCCATTGAGCTATGTGTGAGTTATCGCAATCTGTGAAATTTGTGTTTATGCATGTGATCTGAAGCGCTCCAGCAAGTGATGAACAGTCGGGTTCCTAGCACCAGCGCTCCAACCAATAGCAAGGAACTGCACCTCTGCTTGCTGACATCACTAAATCAACAGCAAGGAGCACCTTTGCTACACCAAATACTGCCGTTCACAACCTCTGAAAAAAAAAAACACAAATTTGAAAATTGGATTAATGACTAAAAGCTGAAAGTAGAAGCACGAAGGGCCAGCTCCCCCCCTTTCCCCAAAAAAAAAAAAAAAAAAAAAAAAAAAAGGGCCAGGCCCCACTGGTCTATGTCTACAACTCCGTTAGGAAATCTAACAGTCAAAATGAAATGGTAAAAACCACCACTGGATCAGATTTTTTTGTTGGATTTAAAAAGCTGGACATTAAATGGGGCCTGGCCCTGACCTGGATATCAACCCCGAAAGTGCTTGTTCTGTTACTGTTTCTCTTTTTCTGTTTTCACTGTTTTTTTTTTTTTTGAGGGGCGAGAAGGTTTAGTTGGATGTGAACTTATAGCACTGCTTCCTGGTGGTATCGCATTTTGTGTGTGTGTGTGTACCTCAGAACGCAAAGGATCTGATCCGTTTTACTGTCTATGATGAGTTGACCCTTCAAGACGATGCACAGGATCAGGGACTGCATCGGGATCCCAATGTGTACAAGCATATTACTCTGAGGAGGTACCTGGGCTCTCTCAGGTACGGTTCAAGTGTAGCAGCCACTGGCAACGTGTGTGGCCATCAACATGCATGTGGCAGAGTGTGTGTGTGTGTGTGTGTGTGTGTGTTTGTGTGTGTGTGTGTGTGTGTGTGTGTGTGTGTGCTTCAATGCAACCCATGGCAAGTTACACTATGCCAGGTATAATCTCCGATGACAGGTCATCGGCACACCTCTAGCTTAGGTAACATTCCCAAGTATGGTAGATTTTATCTGTAGTGGTGAAAAACGGAATCTACTTGAGTTTCTGAGTAATACCACGTTCTCATGAAAACACAGCCGCTGTTCATCATATAACAATGTAACCAGTATTCGTCCAAACAAGGTAGCCGTCAGACAGTCAGTTTCGAACAACACACAAACACATAAGGCAGGAAAATGACAACAACCAGTGGATAAGGCAAGTACCAAAAAAAAATTAAGACAACACATAGGTTGGAGGGCATTGGGGAGGCCGGAGGGCAGACAACACACCAGCACATAAGGCAGGGAAACGGCAACAACCAACGAATAAGGCAAGTACCAAAACCAAGAAAACTGAAAAAAAAAACAAAAAAAAAAACTGATGATGATAGATTGTTTCGCCGGAATTGCACCGACTCATCAGGAGGCTGAACCCTTGACAATCTGCGGAATACCCGTATTTGATGGTTTGGGTCATGAACCCTTTGACCCTTGTTGGAGGCAGACTGTCCCCAAGAGGAACATATCAGCGGGCAGCAACCCTGTGAAGCACCAGGCAACACAGTAGAGGCAACACAACTGCACAATGCCAAAAACGACTGCAAGGAACGACATGGCACGCAGCGCGGCAACCGTGTAGTGAAGCACAAGGCAACACAAACAAAGCAACATCACTGCCGAGAACGACAGAGTGAGCGGACCAGCAGGTCGGCAACCGTGGAGCGGAGCACAAGGCACCATCAACAAGGCAACCAACCTACAGGGCACACAAGCAGCAAGCACAGAAGGCACGGCAGCGGAGCAGTGAAGCGCAAGGCAACACCAACAACACGGCCACACCGCACAACGAACACATCAACCTGGAAAAAAACACATGCGAAGCAAGCGGGACTGGCAGCAGGGCAGCGGCGGAGCGCAGACGAGGACTTCCACACATCCAACACGGAGCAAAGCAGCGCATGACCTACTCACATCACGATTGAACCCCGCAGACTGTTGGTTCCCACCACCCACTGAGCCAGGGAGACACTCTGACGAGCATCCGTCATCACCCATAGGCAACACAAACATCCCGAACCGAGCGGCCCCCCTAAGAGTGCAGTTGGCACTCCAAACGAGGACCCATCGACTGTTTGGCACTACTTAAGGGTGCTCAGTTGGGCACACAAAAAACTAAAACTTAGAGGGAGGACAAGCAGCAGGAAAAAGACTGGCAGATAGAAAACTGAATGTGTGTGTGTGTGTGTGTGTGTGTGTGTGTGTGTGTGTGNATTCTAGCATCCTGCTTCGCTATCTTGTACTTCGTGAAAGAGGTCAGTCCCGGTCAGGTCAGGACTTGTATCTAAAGTCTTCCCTGCGCTATAAAGCACCATTTTGTACGTATCGGAATGCACATTGCTTGTTGAGATTCCACTTGCACTGCATTGTTGTTACATACTTCAATGAGTATGGGCAGAACCAAAGATCAACCAATATAGGATGAGCATGTATGCAGCGGAAGTCTGATAGCGAACTGACTCACATAGACTGACTCACATCTGTCTCTTATACACATCTAGATGTGTATAAGAGACAGGAGAGAGAGAGAGAGAGAACTCAGATTCGAGCACTCATTTTTCAATATGCACGTGCGTTAGGTGCTGATGGATGTGCACAGTTTGACGTGTGTTATTATCATACTACATCCATAGTGCAAAACTCAAATGTGAGAAAATGCAATACTTGCTGAAGTCAAAAGAAGAAGTGGGAGAGAGAGAATGAGCAGAATAGAACGAAGAGGATAGAAGAAGACCAATGTGTTCCCGCGCTGTTCTTCTCCATCTCATCTTGTTCTCCTTTCCTCTTTCAGACAATCAATTAATGACGACAATAAATGGATGAATGAACAAGACTCAGGAACCCTTACTGGCAGCATTCAGAGAGCTCTCCTTGCAGCCTCGACCTCACTCCTCCCCTCTCAGTTGCATCTCTAACTATGGCTGGACATCCATGTCCATCACGGATGTTCAAACTGGACAATGAGAGAGAGAGAGAGAGAGAGAGAGAGAGAGAGAGAGAGAGAGAGAGAGAGAGAGAGAGAGAGAGAGAGAGAGAGAGAGAGAGAGAGCTGGTGTTGCTGAAATTGCCTGCTGCTGCTCATCACGAGCACTGCTGTGCTGAGAGGAGGAAAATGCACCCACTGGTGGAGGCAGCCAGAATGGAGGTGATGGCGACTGCCAAGAGGAGAGGCAATGCTGCTGGTGGCCGAGGGCATTCACAGTGGTTGGACTTTAAAGATAGAGCTTGTGACATGGGCACATTGCCTACTACGGAGGCCGCCTTCCTTTTTACTTTTAAGATAGAGCTTCGTCGGATTCATCGCCAGACGGTGCTTCAAGCTATGGCGTTCGCGCCTATCTATGTACTGTCAGATGTTTTGAGTATTTCCCGAGCTGACTCGCTCGGGGGACTACACAATCTTCTTCTTCTTCTTCTTCTTCTTCTTCTTCTTCTTCTTCTTCTTCTTCTTCCCTGCTCTTCTATCCTTGTCTATGGATTGGCCTTCATGTATCGCACATGGTTGTTTGTTGCAAGGATACTTAACTTACCTGCAGCGCCGTTGCTTGAGCCAAGCCTTTATGCAAAGGGCTGGCCTTGGTGCACAAGTTCGAAGGAAGGCAAACCCGACGGCAATCAAGTTGGCGGACGGAAGGACGCAGCAACTTATCGACCGCCACATCAAGGCCGTACCGGTGTATTTCGCACCTCATGCATGCGAACCAGTGACATTTGACATTTTGGACACGGACTTCGACATTATTTTGGGAATGCCTTGGCTTGCAAGTGCGGATCACACGGTCAACTTCCACCAGCGGACTCTTACCGTTCGTGACGCCTTCGGCGCAGAAGTGGCGTGTACTATTCCTCTTCCGCACGGCCAAGTCATTCCGGGCTACTTGTGCTTACGAGAAGCCCGACAAAATCGGCCTATGTTTCCTACGGACCGTCGAGGTAGCCGACTCTTCAGCCACGGACTTGTCTTCGGACCCCCGTGTGGTGCGGTTGCTTGATGAGACCGCCGACATCTTCGAGTCACCTACCGGTGTGGTGCCGGATCGGCCGATCTCTCATGAGATCATTTTTGAGGTCGGTGCCGTGCCACAGAAAGGTTGCATTTATCGCATGAGCGAGGAGGAGCTTACGGTCCTCCGCGCACAACTCGATGATTTGTTGGACAAGGGCTGGATCAGCCCCAGTAGCTCTCCATACGGAGCGCCAGTTCTCTTCGTACGGAAGAAGAACAAAGATCTACGATTGTGCATCGACTACCGCAAGCTCAACGCGCAAGCCGTCAAGAATGCGGGGCCTCTTCCTCGCATCGACGATCTTCTTGAGCGATTGGGCGGCGCAAAGTATTTTTCGAAGCTGGATTTGAAGTCGGGATATCATCAAGTCTCGATCCGCCCAAACGATCGTTACAAATCCGCATTCAAGACGCGGTATGGGCATTTTGAGTGGGTGGTCATGCCTTTTGGCCTCACCAACGCCCCGGCGACCTTTCAAGCGGCAATGACCAACGAGTTCCGTGCAATGTTGGACCGGTTCGTGCTGGTCTACTTAGACGATATTCTCATCTATAGTCGGTCATTGGAGGATCATCTTGAGCACCTTCGACGAGTGTTGGAGACGCTCCGCTGCGCCAAGCACAAGTCCAACCGCGACAAGTGTGAATTTGTTCGGTAGGAGCTGGAATACTTGGGCCATTTTGTCACACCAGAGGGCATCAGTCCGCTATCAGACAAGATTCAAGCCATCCAAGAGTGGTCGGAGCCACGGAACGTCACGGATGTCCGTTCGTTCCTTGGTCTCGCCGGCTACTACCAGCGTTTTATCAAGGGCTACTCGAAGATCGCAGCTCACTTAACCAAGCTTCAATCCGAGGATCGGCCGTTTGACTTCGGAAAGGAGGCGCAATAATCATTTTTGGCTCTCAAAGCCGCACTATTATCTGCGGAGGTCTTGCGCATATACGATCCGCTTTTGCCTACGCGCGTCACTACGGATGCGTCCGGCTATGGCATTGGTGCTGTCCTCGAGCAACACGATGGCGTGGACTGGCACCCGGTCGAGTATTTCAGCAAGAAAGTGCCCGTCGTGCACTCCATTGACGATGCACACAAGAAGGAGCTCCTCGCCTTCGTCCATGCGCTCAAGCGGTGGCGGCACTTCCTCCTTGGTAGAAGCCAATCCCGATGGGTAACGGACAACAATCTGTTGGTCTTTTACAAGACCCAAGACACCATCAACAGCACCATCGCTCGATGGATGACTTTCATCGACCAGTTCGACTTCTTTCCCGATCACATTCCAGGGAAGTCGAACCGTTTTGCGGATGCTCTCTCACGGCGTCCGGATCATTGTACCATGGTCTATTCAACCTTCGAGTTCGACAACGACCTGCGGGACAGCTTCATCCGCGGCTACCAAGCCGACCCCGAGTTTCGCGACAAGTACACGAATTGCTCCTCTCCCAATTCAGCGCCTTCTCACTACCGGATCCAAGAGGGGTACTTGCTTGTCCACACATAGGGGAAGAACCTTCTTTGTGGACCGAGTGACCCTCACTTGCGTACACGGCTTCTTGGCGAGTTCCACGATGCTCCCGCCACCGGACACTTTGGAGTCAATCGCACGATTGGCCGACTTTGCGAGCGATTTTGGTGGCCCGGCCTTCTCGGCGACGTCACACGCTATTCCGAGTCATGTGAGGTTTGTCGACGCTGCAAATCCCGCAACCATCGTCCATACGGCGAGTTGCGACCATTACCGATCCCCTTGCGGTGACATTACCGGCCCGTTCCCCAAGCACATGACCGGCGTGGATGGGATTCTCATGGTGGTCGACCGACTCACCAAGTTCGCTATGTTTTTGCCTTGCCACTATGATGCCAAGGCACCGGAGTTGGCCGGGGTTCTTTACGCCGGTTGGATTCGAACCAAGGGTTAACCCAAGGAAATCGTCTGCGACCGCGACACTCGGTTGGCGCTCATCAAACGATGGGGCTCATCTCTCAAGCCAAGTTCGGCTCGTCACCCCCAAACCGATGGCCAAACGGAGAGGGCGCATCAGACCGCACAAGTGCTCCTTCGCACTCTCATCCGCCCCGACCAGAAGGATTGGGTTGAGCGGCTGCCGGATGTCGAGTTGGCCTATAACTCGTCCATCCACCCGGCTATCGGGATGTCGCCCTTCGAGTTCGAGCACGTCTCGCCGGTCACCTCGCCGTTGGACACAATCATTCCACGAATGACCGAGAGCGATGACCATCTTCTTTTCTTGCGTCGGATTCAAGAGCTACTTGTCAAGGCACGTGACCAGAATCACCAGATGGCCAAGACGCAGCAGCGCATGAGCCAACAGGCCAATCGCCAACGTCTTCCTTGCCCATTCCGCGCCGGCAATCTCGTTTGGGTTTCCGCCGCGGAATTCAGCCTTGAACATGATATCTCTCACAAGCTCCTCCTGAAATGGACGGTGCCTTGGCCAATCGTGGCACCCGCTGGGGATGCACCCGAGGGACCTTCCTTCACTATTCAGGTGCCCGCCCACTTGCCCGTCTACCCAGTCTTTCATTGCTCCAAGTTGGCTCTTTACACACCAGCGGAACATGACGATTTTCCTGGGTGACGTTCGCAAGACCCACCCTCTATGGACGGTTTTCAGGAGGTCGGCGACATCATCTCCCAGCGATGCTACGGCAACAGGCCAACCGAGTACTTGGTCCATTTTGCATACTGCACACACCGAGCTGACCGATGGTTGACCCGTGCGGAACTTCAAGCAACAGCTCCTGACGTTCTCGCACGCTACGGACGCAAGATGCAAGGCAAGCCGGTCTCTTCGGCTCCACGCCGCACCCACGTCCAGGTTCCACCTTCAGATTGTCAGCCTCGCTCTCGCCCTGGCTTGACTTCATAAGGAGGGGGGGGTGTTACATGCTGCGCCTGCACACGAGGGCCATTTTCCAGGCCCTGCGTCCCTCAGGCTGAAAGCCTGAAAACCAGGGCCTACAGGCCCCGTGTCTGTTTAGCTCGAAAGCCTGAAAAACAGGGGCCTACAGACCCTGTGTCGTTTCACACTAAAAATGGCAGTAGCCTTTTTAGCCTGAAACAAAGGGCCATTTTCGGTCTTTCATCAGACCGGCCTGCCCTGAAACTCAGGCACCAAACCAGGGTTTTAGGAACAGGCTATTTTTGGCCTGTTCCCACGACAGCTGCAGCGCCAGGCCCTGGCTCAGTTTGGCATTGGCAAGAGCAGCCTCCTGGACTGCCCGCCCTGCAACTGCAGGCAGTCGGAGGCAGTCAGGAGGCAGGCCGAGGTAGTACATAGGGACTTCCCATGCACTTCACGGGTAGGCAGGAGGCAGTCAGTAGTCTTCAGGATTTGGCAGCAGCACTCTGGAGGAGCGCTGCAGGAGTAGTGGTAGCGTTAGCAGTAGTCTTCAGCGCTGGGCGCTAGTAGCATTAGTTGTAGTCTTCAGCGCTGGGCGCCATAGCTAGAGTAGTACTAGAGAGAGAGAGATTGGGCGGAGGCCAGGGATACTAACCTGCAGTGCCGTTGCTCCAGCTTCGTCTTCGAGGTACCTGAGCACAGCGCCATCTTCACAGGTTAGTACCTGACACATGAGAGAGAGAGTTCTTCTTCTTCCTCTTCTCAGTCCATCATCTCCTTCTCACCCTCTCGCTATCTGACTTCACTGCATCAGCAGACTAAGAGAGAGAGAGAGAGAGAGAGAGAGAGAGAGAGAGAGAGAGA